TGCACAAATTCGAACATCTGGGTTGTGCTGTTCTGTTGTAAATAAATCTTAACCAATGATTCCTAATTGCATCTACTTCCGGAAGAACAAATAAAGTGCTTTTGCTTTCGCACTGAAACACAGCGTCTCCCTGACATGCTGCTTCAACACTACTGCTGTTACTGAAACCACGCCTTCTTTCTTTGCCTGCACCTTTGGGCAGCATTATGCTAATATTTCCACATCGTGACGTAGGTATGTGGGGCGTGTTAGAACGAGCCGTTTTAGGTAGGTGTGGCAGAGTCTTAACTTTTATAAAGAATATCTCTTTGGATTTGAGACTTTAGTCTTTGCAACTTTACAGATCTTCTTTATGCACCAAGAGCTTGTAACACTCCAAAGAGAAAGGAAAAATTGAAATCGCATCATATGACCCCTTTAAAGGGCCATGAAACCCCGCGTTTCAGCACTGGTTAGTTCTCACCACAGTTTTAAAAAATGCTAAAAAAAAAATAACACACACAGCTTAGTGTTCAGACAATTTCATTTCACTCTGCATCAAAAACATATATATATGAACGCGCTGTTGCACCCCTGAGAACTTTTCAGTCTTATTCTGTGGCGTTTATATAAGCCTTTTGATGGGTTGTGTGACAGAGCTGCAAAAACGGTTATGAATTGCGTTTAAAACTCTTATTACAAAGCAAAAACAAACACTCTTCTTCCATCCATGAATGTTTCTCTCAGTTATTGTGTCATCTCACAGACTCTGAAGCGTCTGTCACAGCAAATCAACACATGCTGTTGTGAATAATTAAGCCAGGCTCTTCTCATAGGATAAGAACACGCAGTCTCATTAATAATTTAATAGACACGGACGCGTCATCGATGTACTACAGTCCATTGCTGCGTCACAAATTGTGACGTCAACACAATGAAGATTTTAAACCCGGAAGATGAAAATAGCGCAAAAAAAAGCTTAAAATTAACCAGTTTTCTCCAACAGTTAAAAGTATCGGATGCTAACATTGTCTTCTATGATGTGCAACACAAACACCTCTGCTAAAATCTCAGAAAAAGTAGTCTGGGGTTTCATCATGACCCTTTAAAACAAATTCATCATTATTATCCTATTAAAGTAAATTCAACCGAAACGTCTCCCCAAATGTTTGTTTCTCTCTTTCTAGATTTCTCTCTTATGGCTTCACCATCCTTCTTGTATTCTTCCGTCTGTGTAATATTTCTGTCATTAAGGTTCTTTTTCACTCTGATGAGACGATGTCTTGGACTTTAGTATTCACTTTTGATTTTATGTTTACTATTATCATTACTACCTCCAATAAAAAGCATAAAGTAAAAAGTGTATGTATATATATATATATATCGTAATGTTTATTTATTTGTTTGTTTTTCTTCTGTATCCCCCCACGTGTTCTTGCTTGGTTCTTTAATGTTTGTTGCAATTCAATAAAAAGCAATGCAATGCAATAAAATAAAAAGCAATAAAAAGCAATGCAATGCAATAAAATTAAATACAAAATAAAATGAAATGAAAAAAAAAAAGAAATTAAATAAAAAAATAAAGTGCAGTAACACAAAGTGTGTTCGTGTTTTGGGTAATATATTAAAATGATATGATAACAAATTCCAGTTCGCATCATCAAGCAGCATAATAGACTGCTTTTAAAACAGGGTGGATCTGATCCGGATAAAATACTGAAGCTGATAAATCATTATTAGTGGAGCAGAGTGTTATTTGCATGAAAACATGTCCTGATCGTGCAGTGAATCGGTTTTAATACTGTTCTACAGATATTCACAGAAGGTTTCTCATAATTGACCATACTGATATGCTTAAACAGCATTACAAATATTTAAAATGAATCTAAAAAAAATCAATCTGTGAATAATCCAGCATAAAATCATCCACAGACAAACCGCACTGATGCTCTGAATGCGCTTCAGAAATGCAAACAGCTGCTCATCAACTTTCACAGCATCTGCCACAAAACCAGCAAATATTACATTCTTCATCTCGAGAAATACCCCGGAAAACCACCATTTCAGCTCTTTCTGTTTGCCCTAATGTTAATGTTTTCATTTTGTTTATTTGGAATAATATCTTGCTATTGTAATGTTTTAATTGTCTATACATGTGTATTACACTTTGCACTATGCAAATAATATACTGCCTTTAATTTGAATAAAATGAGTTTCCACTGAGAATCATCTGAACTTAAGCTCCATTGTCTTCATGTCAAATGCAATTCCTTGATTTTGTGTAAAATGGGGATTGGGCATCACTACGGCATATAAAAACCGTATAAACTCAACTCAGGCTTTAATGAATGTTGTGTAGATTCCCAGCCGGACACAGTATATGCAGCAGGTCTGATATGAGCAAGTGTTAAACTGTGTGTTTTCCTCTGCATCTGTTCTGGGCCTCATGATGGACGATGGCTTCACATGCATCTCATGAAGAAACTGTAATGCACTGTATGATTAATTATTGGCTTATTCTGGAAAACAGAGATAGAAATAGCGCTTGCACATCCTGCTGGTGGAGAACCACTGTATCCAGACACATGAATGATGATGTTTGCATTGTGTGCTTTATCAATAGTGTTCAGAAGCGCAGAAAGACGGCTCTACTTTACTGCTGCTGCTCAATACAGACAAGCTCTGAGCGGACGAGACGCTTCATTCAGGCTTTGATACTGAGTTTTCTCAAATGCACAGCTGCACTGCTTTACAAATACCAGCTCGTGTGAAGAGAAGCATCTTAAACTGAACCTGGAGCGTGCTTGTGTCCGTGCTGCTCATCATCAGTATGCGGGACACGGCCGTGACGTCACTCGCGACTGAGCTCACACATCAATCACAGCGGCAGCAGTGACGTCACACCTTCAGCTTAAACAGCTCCAGTGCACTGCGCAGCACTCCACACATCCTATATGTGCTGCTTATACACATCTATTTTAGGATCTTTTGGATAAATATTTGTATATATATTATATATATTTGAAAAGCAAATATGTATAACCCAGCAGGCACCTTGATATCAATTTGACATCATATATAACATAATTTTAAATTCAGTTTGGACAGCAATTTCTTCCAGTGGGTGAAAATAGGAAGTGAATCCCACACTGAAATTGGTTTAATGTATATGTAGGCCAATATGTTTGATGTGTTTACATCAAATCCACGCAATGCCAAGTTTTTGACGTCAGTTTGATTTGCATATTTGACCTGTTTATTGACGTCACTTTTGATGTCAATTTAATGCCTTTTCAACATCAATTGCTGACTGGGATA